GTTGATCCTGAGTGTAGAGAAAGCTCAAGCGGATTTATTGAAACAGAAAACTTATTCGATGTCCATGTTTCTGCATCTTGGGCAGGTCCTGGATACTTTCAGAAGAGATAGAAGATGCAGAAACATGAGAGACAGATGTTGAAGTTCTATCTCAAGGACCATACAGAACAGGCACAATTAATATGCATGTGGTCCCCCAGCAAAGTTTGATGAAACACATTATTTTTTATCAGAGAAAATGCAGCTTTTAGAACATCCACCTGAGACACAGTAGATGAAAAATGACTATCACAAATTCACAATAGCACTCTAGTTAAAGAGAAGAACCAAGTAGTACTTTTCCTGCAACTGAAGAATCTAACCAGGGAATTTAAGTAAGATTCATTTTGAGAATTTAAGCAATGATCTATGAATCTCCATGGAGACCTTCCACATCATGTACTATAGTTTCACCCAGCACCATATCCATACATTTTATACATTTGTTTGAACGACTCCATACTCCACAGCATCAACGAGTAGTTTCTAAAGGCAAAAAAATAATAGATAAAATATACCACCAGACTTGGTGAGTACACCTTTACCTCAACTATGAGTTATAGTCACAAGAAACTGATAATGTTGATTTCTTATGTAGGTACCAAGCGAGTTTGCATAAAAGATTATTTGGAAATGAAGTGAGTGTGTATAAAACAATAAGCATATGGTCTACTGGACTAATTGTTTATCTAGCTATCTTTTCTTTATTACCAAGCAACAACTATTAGTTGGGTAAATAACAAGCAGGTGCCTGTAAGTGAAGCTGGAAGGACGCTATGATGGATATAGTTCTGAACGTATATTGATATGAGATTATTTCCATGGCAAGATAGCTGCATGGGATTGACAAATAATTCTGAAGCACAATTTCTATGACACTTCTAGGGGTTTTGTGGTGTTGTATTTCTTTTTTTCTGGCTTATTTGATAAAAATACATGGTCATATACTTGATTTAATTGAGATTTGATTATTTAAAGGAAATTATGCAATGCTTGCTATTTCCCTACAGGAGACCCGCTCCCTCAAGCCTTTGGGGTCAGGCAGTGCGCTGATTCCGCGTCTCCCCTCCAATAAGTGAAACCATTGGTCGCTCCCTACTTCCTTGGCATAGTAGATTCACTTGATAAATGAGTTTTCAGAAAAATGAGAAAAGCTTGACCAGGTATCATCACATCATAACAAGTTGCTTATGGTTTAAAAAAGTTTGGCCATGATTTTTTCTTTGTATGTTGACTTCTCTTCTTCTGGGAGGATGCCAACTGATATACTTCTTTGTGATATTCTGCAGCGAAGAGCAGCAAGCCGCAATTATCTCTCGTGGTAGTTTCCATATTTTTTTATAGAGGAGAAACAAGACAGAGGAGAGCCAAGTAGAGGGGCCAAGGGAGGACCTCAAAATTAAGGAAAAAGATCCTAGATCAATCCGACCTCCTTGGTGAGGAGGGTAAGATGGAGGAGGCTCTTGGATCTCAATTGGCTCGGCTTCAACAGAAATCATCTGCGCAGCACGAAAATAAAGATAAAACCTTGGCAACAGAAACCACGGGAAACCTGAAATTCTGGACTGAACAAAAAGACATAAGTTGGGGAGAAATTTAGGTCGCTAGACTGCCGTGCTCCTGCATATGCATGATTTTGCAAATGTGATACCTCGGTGCTCCCTTCAGTTTTGAACGACTCAAAGACCATTCTGATCCCTCTAGCAAACATGTTAACATAACTACATACGCAATGCATTTCTAAACCATTAACCAAAGCATTTATGCACTCAGAATTAAAATCATCTAATTGTTCTGTTCTAAAATATTTAAATGTCTGCACTTTGGTATGGCTGCAACTTGGTGACATGAACTGAATTATGGCTGAAGAATAAGAAAGTAGAACCTAGAAAGATCTACCATGCGTACATAACAAATCTGAACAAAAATAACGAACACTGATGATTCCAAGCAGCGCATAGCAAAACCATTCTTTTGGAATATAAGACGGGTCATTTTTTATGTACTGTATAATAGGGCCATTACTTATACAGCAGATATCAAATTAAGCAAGTGGGTAGAAATCAGTAGAAGTGGACAACAAAAGTCAGCAGCCCATCACCTTGCAATATACATAGAACATACTTTCACCGACCATCATACCGCTAAACAACAAGACTCATCGGCCATCCACTTGAATTATTATTCTGCAACAGAACAAAAGAAAACACACATAGAACACCAATTAGAAGGGCTCCTACACACCAGTCAATAGTCTATATGGCAACAAAAACAAATCATTTGGTCATTCATCAGGCCGATGGTGTGCATTAGGTTGGGCCTGCTTACACGGTACAGAGACATTTAGGCTACACAAATCTTTAGAGAGAGATTAGGGCATGGAACAGAGGGGAAGCTCATCTTGGCGTCTCCCCAAAATTTGCCCATGGTTGCCTGTGCCCGCAACCTCGCACATGCTACTATGCAGAGGAAGAGGCATGGAAAAGGAGGTGAGGGTGGAGGCAGAGGCGAGCCGGGCCGCCTCCCTGGCCGGCCGGCAGCGCAGCCTCCACGAGGGCCGGCCTACTCCTTCACCCTATCGCCGACCTCCTCCCTCTTCCCTGTAGCTTCACCACATCGCGACGGGCCGACTGTTGCCTGCCCTCGTCGCCCGCCTCCCCTGCCCATCCACCCCACCATCGACCTGAGAACAAACATGGCCGGGTTACTGCAGAGGCATTCTACCGAACATGTTGCATGCAGGCAAACGGAAGGAAGACTAACCTCAATGCAAAAGGCAGAACGGCGCGACGGCGGGCGCAGGAGACAGCGGTGGAAGAAACTGGTCTGCACATGTAGCACACAAGAGGAAGAACACCGAGGTAAGTAGGGTGAATTGCGCAGAGAAAGCAAAGGGAAAAAGGACGAACCAAGGAAGGCAGGCACGGACATTAACCAGCAGCACCGATCGAACGCACAAACGCCATCACAACGGCTATGCACACCGGCGGCGAAGAAGGTCAGTCAGTCCGAGTCGAACAGGATGCGAAGCGTGGTGGGGCGAAGGAGGCGAACGGCGGACAGCGAAAATGGAGAGCGCGGCCTCTCTCCACACCAGGTAGCATTCGCCGCACGGAACAAACCCAACACCGCGGCGAAGGCACGTGCCCTAAGCGGACGACTCAGCCCCACCGTCATACAGACACCAGGCCAGCGGGTGAAGGCCACCCGCGCAAGAGAGGGACGCGCAGCCCCCCACGCACGCACGCCGCGGTCAGCGCGGGATGAGCCACGCGACGCGCCAGGAGTGGGCACCCGAGAATTTCGGACCCAGCCAATGGAAGAACCCGGCGAGCCCACCAGTCATCGTAGCCCACGCTCGATTCCCTGGGTCAAACCGTGACCAATCAAATTCGCGGATAATTTTTAAATGCATAAACTGTTCTACAAATCGAAAACAATTTTGAAATTCATGATTTTATTTCCGACTACCAAATGAGTTTTGCGCTTTCCCTCATACACTCCCCACTAAAAATTATGCACCATCCTATTAAGATCATCACACACGGACATGAAAAGTTTAAACACCTCATTCATGGGGATGGCCTGCGCAACTAATTTGACCATCGCCTCTTTCCCAGCCAAAGAAAGTGTATCATGCATGCAATTATTCTTTTAGTGAGCCCCGCTTGCAGATTTTGGCACTTCCCATTCGACATTTTACCTTGTGGGGATAGGCAAGCTTACATATTTCTCTTCAAAGGTAGAGAGATAAACTTGCAGTGTAGTGCGCACCGCCTCCTGGCTTGTATCCCGGACAGGCTTTCCCAAAAAACATGCTACATCCAATGGCCTCTCTCTTTCTCTGTGTTAGCGATTTTTTCCAGCATCACAACTGATAGCAGCAGCACGTAGTATATGCATAGGTATAAAATTTGTTTTGCACTGAATCAAACTATGGCGGCTGTCATACCGTGTCCATAGGGGTCCTCCCCGGTGAAGCTAAAGCAACGAGAAAATTATTAACTGAAGGTAGCCCAAATGATATCATTTGAAAGGCTGACTCCAACGCTTCGGCTCTACGAACCGCTACGTTCACTCCTAGAACCACCCCACACAGACCGGAGGAGGCGACCTTTCCTTCCTCAACACTGGCAAGTGCCGACGATGGGTCCTCGTCCTTATCCGTCTACTGCTCCAGCAGCGGGAGCGGGCAGGGAACCCAACAGTTTCTCTCCGATAGAGATATAGGGCAAATGTAATATACTTTCAGATATGCTACATCAATGCTGGGCACGGCGTCATATCGAAATAATTTGCTTATGCTCTTCCTCCATCTCGATGGCATTCTAATGGGCGGTGCTAGGAGCAGGTGGCTCAATTTTCTTGCCAGTCTTCAGATCTGGTAAGATCTGTGTCTGATGGTCGGCGCACGACACTCTTCCGGGTGGCGTTGGTGTCGGCTATTGTAGTTGTGTTTGGTGTCTTGTAGTGAGCTGTGTGGATGGCGGCATGCAGCGACATTCGTCTTCTTTGATCATGTCAGATGAAGTTGACGGTGATGGAATCTAGTGGACATTGGGAAGAACCCTGATTGACATGCCACAAAGTTTCGGTCTTGTCGGCGGTCCGGTTCATCGGCTCGAAAAACATCCTTGTATGCAAAGATGCTCCTCCATATCTTGGTATAACCGCAGTGGAGGAGGACAATGGTGGGTGATGTTTTGGCGGGGCACAAGATTCTGCCAAAATGAAATCCTAGTTTTACTTTGAGAGAAACTTCTTGCAAAGTGTTTGATGCAATATTGCAAGACATCTATATATATCTCTTGTGATGACCACATATACTCTTTGTAATACGCTTTGTCTAATGAAATGTATGCGGTTATTTAAAAAATCATTTGAAACATTTCATTATCCATACCACATAACCATAATGTATTGGCGTATGGTCACTAGTTGGATCTGTGCACACGCATATCCTATAGCCGAGAAAAGTTCGCCGACGCCACCACGATCGGACTCCTCACCGTGTATTTGCCGGTGTCGTCCACCCATGTCAACGATCCATACAACGCTACTTCGGGGATTATTTGGCTATCCCCAACCCGAACCACGACCGTGTACCTCTGCTTCTCGTGCTTACCGTCGAACACCAACCTGTTGGGCACGACGTTCACCTTCACCCCGTCCAGTCCCTCCACCGTGGCATTGTACCTCACCGGCCCGTCGCCCGCGTTGGTCACGGTCCTGGCGAACGTCTTCTCTCCGCCGTTGTAGTCGAAGAACGCGATGAACGACGGGTAATTGAGATCGAGCGTCGCGCCGGCGCAGTCCACGGGGCCCGACGATTGCACCACAGTCTTGATCTGCGCCGCCGTGAAGTTCATGGCGCACATGAGCTTGATGTAGTTGTCTGGCCCGGCGTCGTAGACCAGGCCAGGGTCCAGGGAGCGGTTCGGGTCCATGTGGCCGGACCCCATCGCAAGCGGGCTGGCTGCGTACTCGATGCCGTCGGCCCTGTCCTTGATGGGAGCCAAGGTGTTGTCCGCCGCGCTAGCCGTCGTCATCATCGCCGACCGCACCGCCGCGGGGCTCCATTCCGGGTGCACGGCCTTGAGCAGCGCCGCCACGCCTGACGCGTGTGGGCACGACATGGACGTGCCGGAGATGACGTTGAACTTGCTGAACAGCGGCGACTGCGTCCCCGCGTCGGTGACGCTGGCGTTCTCCGCCCACGAGGCGAGGATGAGCGAGCCGGGCGCGAGCAGGTCGGGCTTGAGCACCGTCGGGCAGCTCCGCGACGGGCCGCGCGACGAGTAGGTCGCCACCTGCGGCGCGGGCTTCGTGTCCAGCACGGTCACCGCGAACTTGATGGAGGCCTTGGGCGCGCGGCTCCTCTGGATGTAGTGCAGCAGCGCCGGGGCGCCCCGCGGCTTCAGGATCACGCCCGGAAATGGGAAGTTCTCGTATAGCTCCCTCAGCGTGTCGTTGGACAGGAACAGCCCGGCGCGCACCTTGGCGGCTTTCACCGCCGATATCGCGGGGGTCAGGGCGTCGATGTACGGCACGTCGCAGACCACGACCTTGCCGCGGTTCGCTGCGAGCACCGTGTCGTTGTCGCACAGGCCGAGGAACACGATCCTGGCGTTCCCCAGGCCGTGTGGGGTTCCGGCGTACAGCGATTCGCCGACCAAGGTCGTGCCGTCGCCGAGCCGGACGATGGCAGAGAACTCCCGGTCCACCGTGCCCGCCGCGACGGTGAGCACCCACGGCGAGCCGTTGCGAAGGTACCCGGGGTCCGGCCCGTCGTTACCGGCCGAGGTTGACACGAAGACGCCGCGCTGCATCGCCGCGAATGCGCCAATTGCGACGGGATCTTCGTATAACTGCCGGCCGTTGAAGCCAAGCGAGAGGGAGAGCACGTCGACGCCGTCGGCGATGGCCTGGTCCATGGCGGCGAGTACATCGGAAGCGTACGCGTCGTCCTCCCACAGGGCCTTGTACACGGCCACCCTGGCGCGGGGCGCCATGCCGCGAGCGACGCCTCGCCCATAGCCGAAGAAGGACGCGCCGGCCACGGGCGAGCCGGCCGCCGTGGACGACGTGTGCGTGCCGTGGCCTTCCGAGTCCCGCGGGGAGTCGACGGCGATGGTCACATTGGAGTTGGCGATGAGGCCCTTGTTGTACTTGCGTGCGCCGACGAGCTTCCGGTTGCACGCCTTGGCCGCGTCGAACGCCGGGCCGGACTCGCAGAAGCCCTTCCACCGTGCCGGCACCGGGGGCAGCCCGTCGTCGCGGAAGCTCGCGCTCTCGGGCCACACGCCCGTGTCCACCACGCCGATGATCATGTTCTCGCCGTACTCGGATGCCTCCCATATTCCTCCGGCCGCGCCGACGCCGAGGCCGAGGAACTCGGGCGTGTGCGTCGTGTCGCGCACCGCCCTCGCGTCGTCGCGGTAGCACGACACGAATCCCGGGGAGCGCCGAAGCCTGTCGAGCCCATCCGCGGAGAGCCGCGCCGCGAAGCCGTGCGTCGCGTGGTCGTAGACGTAGAACATGTCCGCCCCTGGGGCGGCCGCGGCGAGCGTGGACTCGTACCAGCGCTGGTGGCTCGAGAACACCCCCGGCATGGCCGACTTGTCCATGTGCACAATGTAGGAGTAGGACGCCGCCGCCACAGTATCGGCCGCCGCCGGACGCGGGTAGAGGGCGACCAGGACCAACGCCGCCCATGGCCACATTGTGCGATGTACGTACGTGAGTAGAGCGCCGGCAACGGTGGAGTACGACGGCCGGTGTCTTAACGGGCGACGGCGCGCTTGGCTATTTACTGCATGGAGTACGACTCCTTCGGTGGTTGGAGTATTTAACCAAAAACTACCACAATTCATGGAACCGTGACGAAAAACTACCACTTTACGATTTTGTCCCGAAAATTACCACTTTCTCGCTAATCCGTGGCAAAAAACTACCAAGTCGCGAAATCGCTCGCTTGGCCTCTTCTAAACGCATTTCTGACAGGATGGGCCCACCTGTCAGCATCAATCTTCTTCTTCCTCCTCCTCCTCCTCTCTCTGGCATTTCCTCGAACACCTCGCGTGCACTCCGCGGCGCTCGTGGCCGCCCCTCGCTCGTGGCCGCCCCTCGCCATCGTCTGGCCTCGCCGCGCCCCTGGCCGCGCGCCTGGCCGTGCCCATGGCCGTCTGGCCTCGCTG